GCTTTTTCCCTTTAGATTCAAAGAGAAAGAATACCGTAGAGATGAAAGAAGCAAAGATCGATGACCTAAGACGGTCTCTGTCTCTGAAGTGAGATAATTCTTCTTGATTTTTGCTGAACGTTTAATCATAAAATACGACACCAGCTCCGAAAATAACCGCAGGTCGACCATAATACGGGAATTGCCCAAGTTTACTCCGTGATCCTGCAGCTGCATTAATCATTCTTAATGCTTGAGGAGGAAGACGAAGAGAAGTCGGAATCGGTTCAATCCCTCGAGACCGACGGGATCGGGTTGAGAAGAGAAGCAACGAACGAGGGGGACGAGAAAAAGAGTGGCGAGTTTCAGAGTGTCGCGTTACCTGGGTCGAGCACAGGTGCGGCGCTTCGAGGCTGACCAGTGTATTGAATTCCACAAAAATTCTTAACGATGCCTCGCTTTGAGCGTCGCCCAGGCCATTCTCTCTCCATCTCGGTCTCCGTTGTCGCTTCGGTGCGCGGGTTTGCTCTCCTGCTCCGGCTCGTGTCGCCGGCTCTTTTGCTTCTCCTGCACCGTCTCGAAAAATTTCGAGATATACCGGCTCGGCAACGAATACCTGTCACCGAGAACGCCTTTCGTCGGGTATCGAGATATCAGTTATGAAACTTCGATTCTGACAAATACGGCGCCATTCTCCTCCATTGTCTAGGACCTTGCGCAATTTCATCCGTATCGTTTCATCCCAGTCCACGTAATTTCGCCAACGACGGTCCTTCAAGCATCTTCCACGATTTATATATATATCGACACGTCGAGTTCATTGTTAGGCTGATATTTTTGACCCCTCGTACTGTGACCATTTTTTTGATGCGATCGATCGACAGTCCCACTTCTTACTTAAGTTTTTTGAAAGCACGAAGTTTCGGAATCTTCTTCGTCCTATATCGGTGAGAATTCGTAAAATGTTGTTAAAAACATTTCGATAGATCGTGAACATACATCTACCTAGTAATATAATTGGACAAGTCCTTCAAAGATTGGAACGGAATCGAGAAAGATCTTCGAGACTTGAGTTTAAAGACGCTTGGCGGTCGGTGTTCGGGCGAGTCCCGGAAGATCGCGAAGCATCGACGGCAAAAAATGCGGTGCAAGGCTGCTTCCACGTTATTTTCTGAATCGGCCACGCCCGACAGGACACATAAATCGTCGACTGGCTCGCGTTCCATTAGAGACTCGATACTTCGATCCGTGTCTCAGCGAAAAAGCAACGAAAAGGAACAGAGTTCGGACCTTGGGCGGTGGCCAGAGCGGCGAAGGTAGGCCACAGGTTCGGTGCGAAACATGGCTGATTTACGTGCGAAAATGGCCAATTAACTGGCGTAATCGATGTGCCGTACGCACGAGCCAAGCTCCGGCTAGCCAGTGTCAAAGTCGCGGAAACGCTCGCGCTATTTCTCTCCGCTTGGCTTGACCCTGAAAACGTTTCGTGGCCGTGCACCTTCGGGCGTACTTCGAGAGTCGAGGAAACGCACGACGACGACACAACGAAAACAACGAAACAACGAACTGCTCGGAGGAATTTGAGAGTATCAGCGTTGTGCAACAATGAAACCGGAATATCGGGGGATTGGTCTTCCAAAATTTTTCCTTCCAGCATCAAGTGGAAGCGCTCCTGAATACTCGTCTGGCTTTGAACGTTGCATCGTTGCAACGTGCGTCACATTGTTACAAATTAAGTGGATAGATTGCCAGTGATTGAAGAGAACGTACGATTAGACTAGTTAGAGAACTAACTAATTTACATTTAGCATGCAATTCAGTATAGAAAACTACTTCACTGTAGTGAAACATCAATAGGAGGTTCTTTTGAACCTCTATGAACTATGAAATTTGCAAAAAACTCATAGAAAAAAAAATATATATATACAAGGCAAATACATAACATACAATACGATAAAAGTCTGTAGTAGTGATTAGAAAGAACGTGTAAGATCCGGTGAATCAAAATTCAAAGAGTATAATGACTGTACGATTTAGTCAGTCCGCGGAAGATCATCCCCGCTGGTATTTCGTCGTGGTGAAACACGCGATACGAATACCCGCAGATGGGACCGAGCTAGAACAATAAGCCATTGCAACACTCTTTCGAAAACGAGGCTCTCTGGTATGTAAACTTTGTTTATGACGCGAGCACGAGGAAACCGACGAATGAATACAATACTTGGTTAACGCGAAAGTCTATGCTTCTAGGATCTCTAATTATTTCGTCAGTTAATTAACTTTTAGAGAACCGACGTTTTTTTCACGAAGATGGTTTGTTTCAAAAATTTTGTGCACATCGTGCAGAATTTAAAGATTTATAACAGAGTACCAAAAAGGGGCTTTGCCAGTTCTCTAAAGGTTAACATATCGACGTACACTTTTGCATAAGCGTAACCCAGAATTGTACCAATAAAGACTCGATACATTTGCGAGGAACGTTCACTCGGAATACAGTATAGCAGGTTTAAACAGCTATTTAATCTGCTGATTGGTCAATCGGACCACGAGTCTGCTCGTTGAACAGATGAAACTCAGATAGCATGTGGGTACATATAGAGTAATGCTCTGTTGGCGAGAGATAAACAACACGCGGTTGCAGGTGGAGGACATGCGGGCGAGGCAGAAGCGTAATCGGCGCGACATTATCGCTTATGCAATCGAAGCTTCACGTCGATTTACGTTGCTTTCAGATCGAGGCGACCGCGGCTACGACGGCAGTAGCGGGCAGCCCGCTTTCCTGGCATATCCCAAGGCCGTCCTTGGTGGGACGAAGCGAGAGGGACAGCGAAAATGGTAGCTGGGCTCATCATCTGCACCCGAACTCACCATCCAGAGGATCAACCTCGTCGCAAGGATCCACTGCCAGTACACAC